ACGATTACGAAAACAACGTAATCGAAATAAAACGATTATTATTTTTATTATTAAAAAAAAAAAAAAAATTTAATTATTATTTAAAAAAAAAAATGTGTTTGTGGTTTTTCAGTTGAATTATACTTAAAGTTCAGGGTAATCAACTGTTAAAAACATACTGTTCACATTTTTGTTTCAATAAATGGATGCTTTCAAAGTAAATGGATAATCGTTTTTAATAATCGTGATATCAATTATTGACCAAAATAATCGTGATTAGGATTTTTGCCATAATCGCACAGCCCTACTTCTTGTAGCCTCGTGGCCTCCGAACACCTACTGTAATCTTCGTGAAGCTGCAGCATTCTCACATTAAAGCATATTGATTTCCCTTTACTGCTTGCTGGTAGTGAATGTTGCATTTCCATACAACCTTTGTTTATTTGCAGTAAGGAAAATTAAGGGTAGATTTGCCCGCTGAGAGGAAGCTGTGTGAGACGATAGGAGGAGGAAAAATCTATTCCCATTTATCTGGTCTGCAGTGCAGGTGTTAACGGGCATTAGCATTCAGAGCCTGGCGTGGTTTATCTACTCCTACGTTTTGTTGGGACACCTTGCTGTTCGGCACACAAAGGCTTTCAATTGAATGATGCCTCAGGGTTTTCTGCCTGTTTACAGGAAGTAAATACAAGTTGTGTTTTACTTGTGCTGTGAAAAAAGGTCTTTCAAGCACGGATAAATAATAAGGAATTGAATTGATTGCTTTTTTCTAATGTATCTTTCTTCAAAATATGACTTATTTTTTCAGCTTGCATTGTCCATTTGTGGATCTATTTGTTTATATATTATTAAACCCACATTTTCACCCAAATGACACGGTTATTTCACCAAAATGACACCCGTATTGCACCATTAGTACACCCATATCACAGTGTTATTACAACATTATTTCACCGATATTACACCTTTTTTTACACTCATTTTACACCCAAATAACACTCAAATAACATCAATATTATACCTTTTTTATACCCATATTACTCCGTTATTGCACCGACAGAAAAAGACAGAAACGCAAATAATACACAAGATGTAAAAAGTGACATGAATTAAACTCTCAACAGGTGAATGTACATATATACAGATATGTATAAAGGTTATATATATACATGTAAATGTGCAGGTAGCAGTGTGGTGGAAGTCTTGTGAGATATTATTAAGATGAATGTTCAGTGCAGGTTATTTCTGACGGTTAACCCTTAGTTGTGCAGCTTAACAGATTGTCCGAAGGGAACACACTCACCTTCTTTCTGTATCCTGAACACATGCAATCCCTAGGCCTGGTTCAGTTGTTGCTGCTTTGAGGTTGTGTTGACCAGACAGGTAGAGACACAACTGGGTCAGTGAGCTACGATGGACGATAACGCATCCCCACAGCTGTCTATGAGCTGCTGTCATGTCTCTGTTTTCTGAACCTGACAGACCCTCTTCTCCCTCCTGATCAACTCATCTCTATTCGCTCGCAGCATCACAATCCAGCCTGGATATGCAGCCTGTCAGATACACTATGTGTTTGTATGTCAGCGTGTGTGTAACTGTGTGTGTGTGTGTGTGTGGCTAGCAGGCACAAAGCCAGCGTGACCCAACTTGGGCTTTTCAGCTTTAGTGCAGCGTGCAGACAGCTGTGCCACAAACACGCTGCTGTGTTTCACCGCGAGGGCCTTTTATTTAGGTCACATTCTGCGCTTCAGCGGCCAACAGAAGGGATCTCTGTCAAGTGCAATGAATACCTTTCGCTGGACACAACACACACTTTTTTAAAGAGTCCTAAGAGAACTGTGTGGAGGGTGTAATGGATTAAGTCATCAGGATACAAAGAAGACGGTATTCCCTTACAGTTACACAAATCAGGATTACAATGTTATTAAAACCTAAACAGAGCATATAGTGGTTGTTCAGATCAGATGTTATCTCTTCTCTGTAAACTGTACTGTTCTGTAGGATAATACTTTCAGTGTTTTAAGTCAGCAGGTGAACCTATGTGTTCATAGAAGAGTGTGTGTGAGCTTCTTTAAACGGTATGTGCTTCTGTTGTGAGTATATTGCAAACTGGCCACCCTATAGTCTTTTAATTTCCCTCCTTTTTAATATATTGGCCTAATTCTCTCCCAGTGCGATTTGATCCTCTGCTTTTGCACAGACTTTGGAAGGAAATTGCATGAATAATTCCCCCTATTTTCCAATGAACCCAGCCACGTCTCCTCACTATATCCCTGCACATAAACGCCTCCTGCACACAGTGTCCTCTCGTTATGTAAAGAACATGTATTTCTCTGCTCCGTCTCCCTCATTTGATCTTGTTATGTTTCCTTTCCTCCCTTATTTGATTTACCCCAGTGGCCTTTGGTAGTTATAAATCGCAGTAATGAATTCCTCCACCAGTGTGCGTGGGTTTCTTCTTATTGTTGGACACAGTGAGGGTTCAGGCCCCCCACAGATGGGTAAGGAAGGCAGTTTAAGGACCCTGATAGATGCCATTGTTTCCATGTCACCACACGAGGGGAAAGGTCGTTTATTGCCACTTGCCTCGACTTCCAGAAGCTGTCAGCTGGGTTTTACCGGTCAATTAGTTTGGAGGAAGAGCACTGGAGGTACGGAGGGAGAAGAAGTGAGGCGTCAGGGTGTTATCATACATTCACATGATCTCTATCTGTGGATTGATATGACTGCAAATAGTCCCTCCTCCTTAGCAATGGGCTGTTATCGACAGAGATGGCAACAGTACACACATCCTTTACTCAAGTAGAAGTACAGATACTTGTGTTTAAAAATACTCTGGTAAAAGTAGAAGTACTGACTAAACTTCTTTACTCAAGTAAAAGTATGCGCTTTGAAATGTACTTCAGTAAAAAGTACCCATAACTAGCAGCTGTTTTAAAGAGTACCTGACCTCCCTTTATATTAATAGAACAATAATGTCATTGTTAGCTAATGAATGTTTCCATGCTGAACAACGGCAACATGACAACGTTTTCATTGGTCCCTCTTCTTTAGAGAAGACCAGGAAATGATGGATACACGGATCGTGTTCAAATCAATAGGCACGCAATGACTCTAAATAATAATGATCACGCCACCAAACACACATTCAAACTAAAGGAACCAGCCTGTTTGGGAAATGTGAGAAGTAGAAAGTACAGGTATTTGGGTTCAACATGTAAGAAGTAGAAAGTACAGGTATTTGTGTTCAAAATGTAAGAAGTAGAAAGTACAGGTATTTGTGTTCAACATGTAAGAAGTAGAAAGTACAGGTATTTGTGTTCAACATGTAAGAAGTAGAAAGTACAGGTACTTGGGTTCAACATGTAAGAAGTAGAAAGTACAGGTACTTGGGTTCAACATGTAAGAAGTAGAAAGTACAGGTATTTGTGTTCAAATTGTAAGAAGTAGAAAGTACAGGTATTTGTGTTCAAATTGTAAGAAGTAGAAAGTACAGGTATTTGTGTTCAACATGTAAGAAGTAGAAAGTACAGGTATTTGTGTTCAACATGTAAGAAGTAGAAAGTACAGGTATTTGAGTTCAAAATGTAAGAAGTAGAAAGTACAGGTATTTGTGTTCAACATGTAAGAAGTAGAAAGTACAGGTATTTGGGTTCAAAGTGTAAGAAGTAGAAAGTACAGGTATTTGGGTTCAACATGTAAGAAGTAGAAAGTACAGGTATTTGGGTTCAAAGTGTAAGAAGTAGAAAGTACAGGTATTTGGGTTCAACATGTAAGAAGTAGAAAGTACAGGTATTTGTGTTCAACATGTAAGAAGTAGAAAGTACAGGTATTTGGGTTCAAAGTGTAAGAAGTAGAAAGTACAGGTATTTGGGTTCAACATGTAAGAAGTAGAAAGTACAGGTATTTGTGTTCAACATGTAAGAAGTAGAAAGTACAGGTATTTGTGTTCAACATGTAAGAAGTAGAAAGTACAGGTATTTGGGTTCAACATGTAAGAAGTAGAAAGTACAGGTATTTGTGTTCAACATGTAAGAAGTAGAAAGTACAGGTATTTGTGTTCAACATGTGAGAAGTAGAAAGTACAGGTATTTGGGTTCAACATGTAAGAAGTAGAAAGTACAGGTATTTGTGTTCAACATGTAAGAAGTAGAAAGTACAGGTATTTGGGTTCAACATGTAAGAAGTAGAAAGTACAGGTATTTGGGTTCAACATGTAAGAAGTCAAAGTAAAAAGTGGTCAGAAAAATAAGTAGTGGAGTAAAGTACTGATACCAGAAACATGTACTTAAGTACAGTAACGAAGTATTTGTACTCCACTACTTCCCACCTCTGATTATCGAGAATTAACAATGAATGTCTGAATTGACCAATCAGAATCGAGTATTGAACTAAGCCGTGTATTACCCTCTGTTATGGCTGATTGCAGCTTCCTCAAGAACTCTTTACACAACTTTGCCGTCAACATTAAGCTTCCTTGTGTCCTAAATGTTACACTCTTACCATGACATAGCTGCATCCCGAGCAAACAGACAGAGACTCCTTCGATGTTAGCTAGACCCTCATTTCTAACAATACCTTTGAACAAATATAGCACACACTCTTGAGCTAGGAATAGATTTGAACTCTACTTGAGTCCTTGTTTTGCCTCTTTCCTCTCTGCCTCCTTGATCCCCTGTCACTACTTCACTGAAAACATAGAAGTGGAAGAGATGTAATGTCAGGGACCACATGCCAAGTGGCGGCTATATTTAGACATTCTCCTTTTGTAAGTTATGAAGGACAAGAAACTAGAAACTAGGTCCAAGTCATCAAGTTTTCTCGTCTGTGAGCGAGTGCCAAACAGCGTCTTCTTCAAATCAGAGCAGATGAAGAGCGGCTGCGAATATGAGATATTTATAATTCTTTTTTTGTTTTCTTTGCAGGTCCGCTACAACTCCTACTATTTTAAAATCCAGGTTTTCTTTTTGCCGTTTGTTTGAATGAACTATTCTAATCTTTCCTTTCCTTCCTCTGTGCAGATCTAGATTCGGGGCCCGTGCAGACTTCCCGTTGCACGTCGTTCGGTCACCATGACGATGAAAGGCCTGTCCAACAGTCGCAGCCTCCACCACACGGTGACCTGCGACCCCTCCTACGACTCCATGACGCTCGGACGCTCCGACCGCCGCTCCTACTTCCTCAATAACCCCGGGGAGTCTCACCCTGCAGACCACCACCACCACCACCACAACAACAACAACAACCCTGGATTCCCCCAACGAAACTCTTTCCACTCCGAATGCGGCGCCTACCCGGATATTTCCAGCTGCACATTCCCCCGCAGACACTACAGCTCCAACCACGAGCTGAAGGAGGAGTGTAGTGGAGCTCTGGTGCCTTACACTGGGCAAACTGGGAGCATTAAAGGAAGTGGAGGAGGAGGAAACAACAACAACCGGACCCCCGCCAATATCCTGGAGCAGTTTGATCGCCAGGCTCCGATGCAGCGTGAAGGATATCACACTTTACAGTATAAACGAACTGCGGTGGAGCATCAGCGCAGCGATAGCCCCGGGCGAATTCGACATCTCGTCCATTCTGTGCAGAAGCTTTTCACCAAGTCTCACTCCTTAGAGGGGCCTTCAGGAGGAGGAGGAATAGGAGGAGGAGGAGGAGGAGGAAGTGGAAAGATGAACGGCAGCAAATCCAGCCCCGATGACCCGCCTTCCTCCTCTTCTGGCACTCTGAAACACAGCAAGCGAAGTAAAAGCAAAGATCGATCCAAGTCTGAGCCCAAAATGCGCGGCGCCATCTCCGGATACTGGAGTTCAGACGACACTCTGGACCGCGAGATGTGTCTCTACCATCATCATCATCACGGGGGAGCAAATGGAGGAGGACGTCCATCGGGGGTCATGACTATGGGGCGCCACCCGGAGAAATCGCAGTCCCAATACTTCATGGAGTCCTACAACACCATCAGCGCTCACTCTCTGAAGACGTCGCGTAGCAACAACGATGTGAAGTGCTCCACGTGTGCAGGAGGAGCAGGAGGAGGAGGTTTGCAACTTGTCGGCCCGTTGGAGGGTCAAGTGCAGCTGAAGAAGAGCTCGTGGTCGTCCACTCTGACGGTGAGCAGAGCGAGGGAGGTCTACCAAAAGGCCTCGGTCAACCTAGATAAAGCTCTAGTGAAAGCTGAGCAGGGGCGTACCTGCCACTTCCTACAGGTAGGACGGTTATTAACACACCTTTTGCACGTCATCATGCATCCAGCAGAGAAGACTCATCCTCCATGCTTCTGGTTCTCTGCACGCATTGAAGCACTGCCTCCATTTCATTCTCAAAAGGTTATTGCTCTCATGTTGACTTTAACCCAAGGGGTGTCCACACTCTTTTCACCGAGGGCCACATACAGACACATATAAGAAGGGCAGGGCCGCTCACTAGAAGTATATCGACTCAAAAGTTCAGGTATAAGTTGGAAAAATCAATCAAATGTAGGTCAATTATATTTGATACTTGAACTCACATCACAGCTCTCCAGAGGGTTCATTTCTTTTGTTAGCAGCTCATCCCTTAAAACAGAAGCTTCAGATTGCTGATAATAAGAGGAAATATGAAGGGTGTATTTCAAGGTTGTTATGTAAATAAGTTATTGGGCTTTTTTTCTTATCAACTTAGATTTGTTAGAACATGTTTTCAACTTCAATGACTGAATTTATTTTAAAATTGGGCTTCTTAACACATGAATATATTTGAACATATATACTTAAGAAGCACAATATAAGACAAGCAGAAGTTTATTATACTTAAAGGGGACCTATCATGCAAAATGCACTTTTGTACGTCTTTTCTACATGAATATGTGTCCCCGGTGTTCCAGGGAACTCACCAAGTGTCAGAAAACACAACCCTCTCTATTTTCCTCCATACCCAAATCTCTAAAAAAGGGGCTGCAACGGATCTGATAAAAACTGATCCAGATTTGAACACTGTCCTGACGTCAGGACGGTGGCGCTACGGCTATTGGGCCAACTCCACCAATCAGGAGGAGACAGCCACGGCCATTGCCGTTCGAAAGCGCTGGAGACGCTGTAGTACATATGCCAGGCCAGTAGATGGTGCTGTTCTCACTGAATCAGCCCTTGCAAAAACAGAGCTAACATTTTTCAAATTGAGCGAAATGAGGCATGGCTAAAATGCATGATCTGTTTGGTATTTTGAAAAAAAATAAGTATAAATATGCCTTATATAGGTATGGTCCTACACTATATTATTCAAATATAGCATGATAGGTCCACTTTAAGTCATTATACTTTTTGAATTTGCTGAGCGAGGGCCGATTCAAAATGGTCCGCGGGACGCATTTGGCCCCCGGGTCGTAGTTTGGACACCCCTGCTTTAACCCATCAAAATCATCACATGTCACCTGTTCCTCCGTGTTTGTTACCATGTGCATGGAAATGATTCATATGTTAGCGTGTGGATGTGATGCTATTACTCCTTGTACTGCACAGATCATTTTGAGGGGGTTGTGCAGAAAGATCATTTTAAATCCATGTACTATGACAAAGATCCATCATTTATTTTTTTTACCATACACAAGCACAGGAAAAGCCGATCAGATATGAGGGAATAAATGTCAAATTGTCACATGGAATAACATTGATACAGTGGCCGCTTTTAATAAGCGCTGCACATTGGTGAAGATGTTTCTTCATGTGTTTTGGCACCTTTGTGTTTTTATATTTGCACCTTTCTGAAGCAGCAGCGTGTTTCTCCTGATGGAAATGTTTTGGGCCGTGTTTGCACCCGTCACCCACCGTACATTCATGAAGACCTTACTGGTAGTTTCATTGTTGTGTGTGAGAAAGAATGAGAATATATTATCCACTGAGCAGGAGTAGAGTGCTGTTTTGGCTCTCTACTCTCAGAGTATCAGACAAAGCATTGACACACACACACACACACACACACACACACACACACACACACACACACACACACACACACACACACACGTCATCCTACTCGCTGCTTTTGTCTATTTTGGGTGAAAAATAAAAGTGTTTTCAGATTGCATACGTCTCACTTCGGGGTGAGTTTCAAATATTCGCCTGAGGAGAAAAATGGCAAGAAAAGGCAGCGATAATAGAAGTGTGTGTGTGTGTGTGTGTGTGTGTGTGTGTGTGTGTGTGTGTGTGTGTGTGTGTGTGTGTGTGTGTGTGTGTGTGTGTGTGTGTGTGTGTGTGTGTGTGTGTGTGTGTGTGTGTGCGCGCAACAGAGAGGGGTATCAATGGGGAAAGTCAAAGGCAGACAGTGAGAGAATAACAGAAGTTGTGTGTGGCCCTGCATTTTAAAAAGACTGACGAAGTGGAGCAAGCAGATGAAGGAAGGATGTAGGACAGACACATTTCTTCCAGCCTGAAAGAGAAATAGCTGTTTCTTCAAAGGGAGGCGGAAGAGAAAAACTGGCTTTCAAAGAGAAGTTAGTCTGCAAACATTTTTCTAAAAACCTTAACCTACTGAAGACATCCTGTAATCCATATGTGATGTTCACACATGGAGAAAGTACTCGGCTCCTGTACTTAAGTAAAAGTAGAGATAATATGTTCTGAAAAACCTCCATTACAGGTAAAAGTCCTGAATGCAACTTGTTGAGTACATATCAGCTAAATGCTAAAAGGATGCAGAATGACTCTTTTCAACAAATTATATTTTAAATAATAATATAATATCCTGTTTTTATCAATACCACATCATGTCAGGGCATTTCAATGTTGTAGTCAATCAATGTGGAGCTTATTTTAGATATATCTTTTACACAGCACAGGCAGTATGAGAGAACACTTTTTGAACATTAAAGCATGGAGACATGTCCCAGTAGAGACACTACATACTGATATACACCTGTAAATGACTGTAGCAGGAATAAGCCTGTTTAAAGTATCCTGCACTTTTAATATGAGGGTAACTTTTGTGCACTTTTTTGTGCATTTTATCAACAACAGCACAGACTTTGACCTCCTCGCAGACCGGTGTTTCCCGAGGTGTCACGGCGGGCTCTCGTTGCCCCTGACACCAAACCCAGCTCTGTTTCCTGGTTACTCTCCGCTCTGCTGAATGATTCCCGCTCTGTCTCTCTTCTGTCACACACACACACACACACACACACACACACACACACACACACACACACACACACACACACACACACACACACACACACACTCGTTTCTCTCACTTCAGAGCTGGTGCCTAACAGCCTCTCACGTTGAGTCTGCGGTGAACAAAACCCCCCTTTGTTTCTCTCTCTCTCTCTCCTTGTCTTTCTCTCTCTCCATTAGAGATGGGCGATAGCTTATACCTCATTTTATTCTTTAACTTCATTAGTGTGTGTGAAAAGTCAGACGAGCAGACAGGGGCCAGGGATCTGCAACCTTTGGTGAAAACATTTGATTTCCTTCAGACAAAACAAGGCCTCCGGCTCTCAAAGGCTGATGGTATGATCCTGCATTTATACACTCATTGGAGATGAAATTGCACTTTGAGAAACAGGTCTTTTTATATCAGCGCAGGGTCGAAAACGATGCTTTTGATTCATCTGTATGAGCTCTCGTGTCTGGACCCCCTTATCCTCCTTTTATTAGTATCACTGTTCATGTTTTATTGTTTTATGGTTCAGTGATATAACTCTTTCTGTTTGTTTAATTATGTTCCTCATTTGCCGTTGTCATTTTCTGTCATAAAGCACTTTGGGCGTGGCATGAAAGTGGCTGTATAAATAACGTTTATTATATTAAATAAAGTGTATTATTCATCTCCCCTTCCTCTCCACAGGTGCCTCAGGATGACTGGAGCGGCTTCTCTCCGCTGGGGAAGGACGATGAGATCCCGTGCCGGCGGATGCGCAGCGGCAGCTACATTAGAGCCATGGCAGAAGAAGACAGCGGAGACTCGGACTGCAGCCCGAAACCGTCCCCAAAGGTTCAGGCACGACGGGCGAGTTACCTGAAGGCAACACAGCCCTCCCTCACCGAGATGACCACGCTCAAGTACGTTTTATATAAACTGTTTATTGTTTCACATTTATACATATGCACACATTAAGACATATAGCAGCCAGGTTATTACGGCATATATATATATATCCAACTATGTGCAATATATATATATATATATATATTGCACATAGTTGGATAGTTAATTAGATTTGACAGATAAAGGGAATGGAAGGAAGAAAGTGGTTCTGTGTTTACACCTCACACACACACACACACACACACACACACACACACACACACACACACACACACACACACACACACACACACACTCTCTTAACTTCAACGCTGGCCTTGGACTCAACAGTACAAACACATCGAACAGACTAAGCCCTGATGGAAAATAAATAATCCCTGTTGAAGTGTCTTTGAAAATGTGAAGCCATGTTGTCATGATGTTCAGCGTGGGTTGAGAACATTTGAAGGATTTTCTCTTTTCTTCTGCAAGACTTGAGGGTCAAAAAAACAACGTCATCAATCTAGAGATGTTTCTAGTTACATAGGACATTCTCTGCTCAGCATTGACTCATTCCTTCAGTGTGTTATATAGGTTTGTGTGCATGTAAATGGTCTGCAGAGGCTAAAATCCCCTCCATTGGACTCCTTTGTTTACTAAGTTGGCGTAAAGAAGTGGAGACACTAAATACTCATTTAAAACCTGAAAATGAGTGGAATATATCTTCTAGTTGAACACAGACTGAAAGCACAGTGTGCAAAGGAGACGTCAGCTGCTCCCTCCTCACTCTGCAGCTGGACCACTGGGCTCCATCAGATGATTCAAGTCATTAGTGGGCCCCAAGCTGCGCCACTTGCACTAGGGTGTGTGTGTGTGTGTGTGTGTGTGTGTGTGTGTGTGTGTGTGTGTGTGTGTGTGTGTGTGTGTGTGTGTGTGTGTGTGTGTGTGTGTGTGTGTGTGTGTGTGTGTGTGTGTGTGTGTGTGTGTGTGTGTGTGTGTGTGTGTGTGGCAGTAAGATGGAAAATATTGTTGGTTTTTTTATCACTTTATTTCGAAGTAAAACCAAAAGTGAGCACACCTTAAATCTCCATAAGAATCCATAACTGCACAAATGATGAATACTGCAAGTTAAGACAGGGAAATGGTTTCTTTCAACCTGTATAATTGTTTTTTATTTGGCTATGTTGAAGCATTCAGCAACACACCTTTTTCAGTACAATGTTAGTATTACTAATTTAAAAAATGTAAGAAAAATAATCTGATAATAAAAACAAGATTTAAGAAACAGAACTTCCAATTAATTTATTATAAATATAGGATATTCCTTCATAAAATACAAATATACTTAAGTTGGCTCAAGTCATCTTATGTCATACTACTTAAAGGGGCCACATTAGGTTGATATTTGTATGTAATGCCTTTACGTTGACATGTTTCCATGCTTTACACAAGCCTATATAACACCTTACAGGAAAGAGGCTCTTTAATATTCAGCTTTGTTCATCCATATGTTTCCGAGTCCATTCTATGACCTTGCCAAGTGGACGATTGCTCCTCAGAAGATTTGTTTACTCCCACCCACTGCTAACCTCCCTCCTTATTAAAACACAGCGCACAGATAAAGCATGCATTTAAATGGCTGGGATGTATTCCTGGCAGACAAACAAGCTCAGGAGAAAATGACATCCTTTCTTGTCCCCGAAACAATTTCTTTTTGCGGCAAATTCATTTATTCCTGGCCCAGATTTTATCATGTTTCTTTTTTTTTTCTTTTTACGTCTCAGCGAGAACAGACATCCTGAATAATGGGTTTGCCGTAATCACACCTTTTGTCTTTTTCTGTCCTTCCCTCTCTCGAATCACAGTCATCACTTTAAAGGCTTTTATTGAGGCGATGACGAAGAGAAGGGGAGAAAGAGGAGAAAGGAAGTGGAGGATAGGGACGGAGAAAGATGAGGTGAAGCAATCAAGGGGGGAATGATGGAGAAAACAGATCCAGATTCAAGCATTCAAGGCTTTTATTGTCATTTGTACATTGAGTGTAGATATGTCAATGAAAATCTGAAGTCACAGGCTCCTCCATCAGTGCAACATGAATATATATATATAGGACATAGAACAAATAAAACAGATCAATCATTTCCTATTAGCACTAGGGATGGGTACCGAGCCCCGGTGTTAAACGGGCCCCGGGGCTGAATTATTAAACACTGTGGTACCGTTAAGCTCCGACGTTATCGGTCTTTTTATCGGTACTGGAGACACGTACAAAATATATCTCATATGTATTATTGCTACACAAACATTATATTGCAGTTTTAGTGTCGCCAACTCCGTTTTTCGATCTTTCCAATCCAGACGAGAGATCTCTCTCTCCCGTCTGTGTGCGAGGGGGCGGGGCGGTTTACACACACACGGAGGAGATGGCTGAGAGAGCGCTCCGAGGTGTGGTTAAACTTTACCCGTCTCGATGAGGACAATGCTCGTTACCAAAAGTGCAATAAGAGTTTAGCATGTAAGGGCGGTAACACGAGCAATTTGTCTAAACATTTAGCAAAAGTGCTCCACATCCAGACGGAGGAATGCTCCGGGTTCGACTGTCTTTCTAGTAGCTCTGTAGCCCCATCCACGAGTAACGTTTCCACGTCAGGTGTTATGTATGCTAGCAGCAACACACGGAGTTAACTCAATGATACAAACATGGGTTAATGATTAGAGGGAACGGAGTTATTTAGTTTGTTAAAGTTTCAGCTATTCTGTTTACAGTTCTGTCATCACATTATTTAATACCATTTGTTAAAACATTGTTGTTTCTTTTGATGTGAAATATTATTTATTTTATTTAAATAAAAAGCAATGTTAGTTTTGTTCACAATTTGTTTAGTTAGTTTACCTTATTTTTTTCTCCAAAAGAACCGATAAGAGTACCGTTAAAAGACCGGATCGATAAGCGGTATTGGTAAAAGTAGTAGTACCGTTAAAACCTTAACGGTACCCATCCCTAATCAGCACGGTGAGATCACACAAAACAGTAAATGGAGCATTAGCTTTAGCCAACATGGCTAATTTCCAGCTGTTGTCCCCGGCCAGATGATAACAGACACCTTTTTAAAATCACAATACATCAACAGCATTAGTTATAAAGAAAGGATGAAAGACGAGTAGATAGAGGCGAAAGGATAAAAGAGAACAATAAAATGCGTGTGTGAGAGAATCAGAATACCTTTATTTACAGATAAAATATAACAAGTAAATAGAAATACAATAGAATGGAAATAGTGCACACGACGAAAAGTAAATAAACACTGAACTAATACGAAGAAAAGGCAGATTTGGAGAGGAGCCAAAGACACGGCAGCCATTTCTCAAGATCCAGGATTACGGGAAGTATCGCAGTTTAAATCAACCGAGGGCTTTACCACCGATCCCTGACGATGGAGAGGAACATGTGTTCATTAATGTCACTTGTTCCTCAGAGGGACACCCTGGGACACACTGAACTCCCCCCCCTTTAGGTGATACTGATTACAAGCGAGTGCTGCCATTCAAGTTCCCACAAAAGACGTCATTGCTGCTGCCGATAATCAGACCGCTGGGAAATCAGGAGGAGATGTGAATGGAGATAATGGAGCGGGTAGATTCCTGCTTCACTTGATATGTCACACACTACAGGAAGCACGTGGAGGATTCAAAGAGATCTCTGAGGGCTCAAATGTACAGATGCACCTTTTCATTTCCTCAGTTCACCTATAAGTGTAGAGAGCACGAGGAAGAAAATGTGTCTTCTTCTGCTGTTCCCTTAAGTGTTTACTTCCTGTCTGTCTTCTTCTGCTGTTCCCTTAGTGTTTACTTCCCATCTGTCTTCTTCTTCTGCTGTTCCCTTTAGTGTTTACTTTGTGTCTGTCTTCTTCTGCTGTTCCTTTAGTGTTTACTTCCTGTCTGTCTTCTTCTGCTGTTCCCTTTAGTGTTTACTTCCTGTCTGTCTGTCTTCTTCTGCTGTTCCCTTTAAATCAAATCAAATCAAATCAGGTTTTATTTATAAAGCACATTTAAAAGCGATTTTTGGTCGAGCCAAAGTGCTGTACATGTAATAAAAACACATTACTACAAATCACAATAAACGACAATAAATTACAACAGATATATCTTAAAAACAAAATAAAAATAAAACACACGGAAAAGTCAGGAGTCGTGCTCCGCTCTAACTAGAAAGCCAGAGAGAAGAAGTGTGTTTACTTCCTGTCTGTCTTCTTCTGCTGTTCCCTTTAGTGTTTACTTCCTCTCTGTCTTCTTCTTCTGCTGTTCCCTTTAGTGTTTACTTCCTCTCTGTCTTCTTCTTCTGCTGTTCCCTTTAGTGTTTACTTCCTCTCTGTCTTCTTCTTCTGCTGTTCCCTTTAGTGTTTACTTCCTCTCTGTCTTCTTCTTCTGCTGTTCCCTTTAGTGTTTACTTCTTGTCTGTCTTCTTCTGCTGTTCCCTTTACTGTTTACTTCCTGTCTGTCTTCTTCTGCTGTTCCCTTTACTGTTTACTTCCTGTCTGTCTTCTTCTGCTGTTCCCTTAGTGTTTACTTCCTCTCTGTCTTCTTCTTCTGCTGTTCCCTTTAGTGTTTACTTCGTGTCTGTCTTCTTCTGCTGTTCCCTTAGTGTTTACTTCCTCTCTGTCTTCTTCTGCTGTTCCCTTAGTGTTTACTTCCTCTCTGTCTTCTTCTGCTGTTCCTTTAATGTTTACTTCCTCTCTGTCTTCTTCTTCTGCTGTTCCCTTTAGTGTTTACTTCCCGTCTGTCTTCTTCTGCTGTTCCCTTTTGTGTTTACTTCTTCTCTGTCTTCTTCTTCTGCTGTTCCCTTTAGTGTTTACTTCCTGTCTGTCTTCTTCTGTTGTTCCCTTTAGTGTTTACTTCCCATCTGTCTTCTTCTGTTGTTCCCTTTAGTGTTGACTTCCCATCTGTCTTCTTCTGTTGTTTCCTTTAGTGTTTACTTCCCATCTGTCTTCTTCTGCTGTTCCCTTAAGTGTTTACTTCCTGTCTGTCTTCTTCTGCTGTTCCCTTTAGTGTTTACTTCCTCTCTGTCTTCTTCTTCTGCTGTTCCCTTTAGTGTTTACTTCCCATCTGTCTTCTTCTGCTGTTCCCTTAGTGTTTACTTCCGGTCTGTCTTCTTCTGCTGTTCCCTTTAGTGTTTACTTCCTCTCTGTCTTCTTCTTCTGCTGTTCCCTTTAATGTTGACTTCCCACCTGTCTTCTTCTGCTGTTCCCTTAGTGTTTACTTCCCATCTGTCTTCTTCTGCTGTTCCCTTAGTGTTTACTTCCGGTCTGTCTTCTTCTGCTGTTCCCTTTAGTGTTTACTTCCTCTCTGTCTTCTTCTTCTGCTGTTCCCTTTAGTGTTTACTTCGTGTCTGTCTTCTTCTGCTGTTCCCTTTAGTGTTTACTTCCTGTCTGTCTTCTTCTGCTGTTCCCTTTAGTGTTTACTTCCTGTCTGTCTTCTTCTGCTGTTCCCTTTAGTGTTTACTTCCTGTCTGTCTTCTTCTGCTGTTCCTTTTAGTGTTTACTTCCTGTCTCTATTCTTCTGTTGTTGTTGTTTTTGCCAGAGTTGATGTTAAATTGACCGGACTTCTTTCTGCGGATTGATATGACTTCACCTAGTCCCTATATCCTCCAAAGCAAAAAAGCAGACCTTGTGAATGTCCAAATTGACCAATCAGAATGGAGAATTCAACTAAACCCTGTAACACATATCCATGTTGTTTACAATGGACCACTTGGATAGGAAACCTGATATTAAAATAGAGGAATTGGTTGCTTAAACAAATAACTGTGCAAGATTAACCCCTGAAAGCTTCGATACAGAATCTTTCCGTAGATTCTGCTCAATATAAAAAGCCTCGAGGACTACAAGGGGGTGCATTTTAATATTAGAAACTTCCCAAATCACTTCCTTTATTCCCATCTCAATCTGTCCTTCCAGTGCTCTGTCTTTCTCCGCTCCATTCTTCCATCCAAGAATGAGTAATCTAGTTTGTCTCGCTGCGCTAACCACACTCTATTTTAGGGCGGAAATACATAATTAAAGCAGACCTGACCTGAAGGCAGAAAGTTATGAGTTGTGTGTGCGTGTGTGTGTGTGTGTGTGTGTGCGTGTGTGTATAAGTACTTTTAATATACTAACAAGTGAAAAGTAAGACGCAGAGATATTGAATTTTGAGCGCACGCTGTCTTGTTTTCTGGGAGTCGGTTTACTAGGCTACGATGTTCATTAGGAGGAAAGTAATTCAGCTTTTTAGGTTTCATTTCCCCTGATTAATGAATTGTTTAGCAGGCATCCAACTGTTACATAACCTACACTCACACACACACACACACACACACACACACACACACACACACACACACACATACACACACACACACACACACACACACACACACTTACATAGCATGCTGAGCGCTCAGATTGGAGGCAGGTGAGAGATAATGAGACACCTATTCATCTTCACTGTGTGTGTGTGTGTGTGTGTGTGTGTGTGTGTGTGTGTGTGTGTGTGTGTGTGTGTGTGTGTGTGTGTGTGTGTGGGTGTGTGTGTGTGTGTGTGTGTGTGTGTGTGTGTGTGTGGGTGTGTGTGTGTGTGTGTGATGTTGGATATATACACCTCACACACACACAGTCCCCCCCCCCCTGTTCTCACACATGTATGCTTCCTTTAAAGTGTGTGAGAACTTGCTTACAAGGTGCCTCAAGGACAGACTGCCTAAGCTACTGCTGCTGCTGTTTCTCAATACTCCTGCGCTTGTTGATTAGATAACGGTGTCTCCTCGAGCAATTGTGGATTGATCCGTATCTTCGGGTTCACACACACTGCCAAGTACTTTACAAATACCTTCTCTCACTCTCTTTTTTATCGCGTAATCTCTCTTGTTTCCACTTCTCCACCCCTACCTTGCTCTGCGGGAGCTCCTTATTTATGTTTTAAAGAGCTCCTAAAGGGTCGTTCCCTTTCCTATAGTGTGTTTATAGGTATTTGTGAAAAGAGGTGCTGCAACACAGGCGGTATGAGAGAGCTTTTTGAACATGAAAGCATGGAGACATGTAGGGACACTACATACTGATATACACCTGAACATCAGCAGGAGAGGACTCTTTAAAGTAGAGACACTACATACTGATATACACCTGAACATCAGCAGGAGAGGACTCTTTAAAGTAGAGACACTACATACTGATATACACCTGAACATCAGCAGGAGAGGACTCTTTAAAGTAGAGACACTACATACTGATATACACCTGAACATCAGCAGGAGAGGACTCTTTAAAGTAGAGACACTACATACTGATATACACCTGAACATCAGCAGGAGAGGACTCTTTAAAGTAGAGACACTACATACTGATATACACCTGAACATCAGCAGGAGAGGACTCTTTAAAGTAGAGACACTACATACTGATATACACCTGAACATCATCAGGAGAGGACTCTTTAAAGTAGAGACACTACATACTGATATACACCTGAACATCAGCAGGAGAGGACTCTTTAAAGTAGAGACACTACATACTGATATACACCTGAACATCAGCAGGAGAGGACTCTTTAAAGTAGAGACACTACATACTGATATACACCTGAACATCAGCAGGAGAGGACTCTTTAAAGTAGAGACACTACATACTGATATGAAGCTGCAGATGAACATAATATGTCCTCTTTAAGTGATATTCTTGTCACTTGTTCCACTTTTGTCCTAGTTGTACTGTTCATAAAGCTAACAGTATAAATCATAACCCCAATCTCAGTTTTACCTGCTGAGAGAACGTCATTCCTGCACATAACCACAAGTTGTTTTGTCAAAGGACCTCATCATGTAACCCTATTATTGAGTTTCAAAAGGCACTAATTACAACGTGCAAATAAGCAGATGATATCCTCTAACATTATTTTCGTGTCTCTCTTTCTGCAGGATTTCCACGGAGCATTCGCCAAAGCTTCAGATCCGGAGTCACAGCTACCTGCGGGCGGTGAGTGAGGTTTCCATCAATAGGAGTCTGGACAGCTTGGACCCGGCAGGGCTGCTGGCCTCGCCTAAATTTCGCTCGAGAAACGAAAGCTACATGAGAGCCATGAGCACCATAAGCCAGGTTAGTGGCACCCAGAGGCCCCTGTACCTCCATGGTTATGTCCAGTAAGGTCGTGCAGGGGGGGTGAATCCAATCCATAGCTGTCTTAAGGCCTGAAATAACAAGTATGAACAAAACCAAAATCTCCTAATTAGTAGCAGATGATTACAGCCGTATTCAGATTGGCTAATTAAACAGGATTTACCCCAACATGCTCCTCCTGCTGCCGCACACTCTGTGATGCCTCTCTCAGTTTTGCATCTGATATGCAAGAGAGGGGAAAACAAGAATTAACATGCAGCCAAATATGAAATCTGTGAATTAGTGGAATCTGGATTGGTTCCTACTGTCGCCTCAAACACGCTCTCATGAGGAGAAACGATGCAAATAGAAAAATACAATGGTGACAAATCACATGCACTTGTCAGTCACCGTAGCTTCCAAATGATTAGCCTTTTTTGATAAGACAAAGCAAGTTTATTTATATATCTGCTTTCAACACAAGGCAATTGAAAGTGCTTTACAAAAGTGAAAGACATTAAGAAAATGGCAAGTAGTGAGAGTTGCAGCGGACCTGCAGTCACAGTGGAGGTCTCTTCTGATTAATAACACGTTAGTCATTTTGGATTTTGAGCCAGGGTTCATACTCTAAGTTATCTGGAGTGACAGGCGAGCTTAGCTTACCTTTTCGCCCGGGGTAATGAGGATATGAACTCCCCTCCAAAGCCCCGGGGGAAACACTGTGCCTCATCTGCTGAATCAAGGACCCGAGGGACGGCCCTTCAACTCCTGGCTTGGAGCAGAGCCACTGAACAAAAAAGAGGTGCTCTCTCTCTCTCTCACTCACTCTCATATCTGACGTGTGTGTGAACGTAACACACAAACCAGACTGTTAACATCGAGGTCCACAAACCTTACTGACTCCAAGCTCTGCAGTAAATACTCACACTGTTCCCCTCTCCACTGGCACTCACCCAAACCAATCACTTAACTCCCCGAAGCAACATCCCATTCCTTCAGTTGCTCTGTGTTTGCTGAACACGGGCAACTTGAAGGAATGGAATGTCCTCACAACACAATCTGTATTTTTAGACGTCGTGCAGGTAGTTCCTTTGAGTCGCATACCAACTCCCACTAGTCGTAGCTTTGACACTTCCTAATTCTCACCTCTAATAACAGCACTAGTATTTCACTCTTCTTCCCATAACGTGATTCCTCCCCCTCTGCACTCCCTGGACGCTCTTATTTCCAGTATATGCACGCTTTTATATATGGCAGAAAGCTTCACGAGGCAGTTTGAAGGAAAAATGATGACCCAAAGAAGACTAAATATGAGTTTCTGTTTGTCAGATTTGATTCAGAAGAAATCGTTTTTTGAGGATCTTGTTCAAAACATCATGCACTAATCATGCATTTGTTATTTCTCCGTGAGCAGAGAGGTATCCCAACAACAGAACTTATTATAATACAGTCTCAAATTATTCTGGAACACCGTCTTCTTGTGGATCTCCCAATTAGATTTTAAGTGTTTGTGCTTAAAACTCCTGCCTACTGAAGCTTCTGTATTGTATTGTCCCCTTTTTCGTTGTTTTGCACAATGCTGGGGTGCATTTTATTTATATTCCAATTCACGGACTGTGTGTCTTTGCGTGTCCTCGTCCCCAGGTGAGCGAGGTGGAGGTGAACGGGCAGATCGAGGCGGTGTGTGAGGCGGTGTTCAGTGAGATGGAGTCGCAGGCGGTGGACGCTCTGGACCTGCCGATGTCCGGCTGCTTTCGCATGAGGAGCCACAGCTACGTCCGTGCCATAGAGAAAGGCTGCTCGCAGGAGGAAGAGGAGGCAGGAGGAAGAAAAGGAGGCGTCGCCAACTCCCCCCCCGCGTACCACCACCACCGTCAGGACCATCCAGAGCAGCACAGGTCGGTGGGACTCATGTACTGATGAACATGTGTGAGCATGCATAATCCATGGTGCATTATGAATGAATATGTTTGCATAGAAAGTATGTATAATACATGTTAGTCATGCAGTATGTAGTGTACTGGTAACTCTAGTGGCTGACAACGGCCTAAAGCCTTTCCGCTGCAGCTTCAGAAAGGATGCAAGTCTAAAAACACAAAGGTTCCACATGAAGAAACATCTTCAGCAACTGGACAACACATTTAGAGAACATTCAGCAACTTGAGGAGACATGCGCAGCGTTTACTAAAACCAAAAGAAACCAAACGCTGCAAGAAGCTCAAAACACAACGGAGACCAGGGGACACTAAAGAGTGACGCACACAGCTGGGAGACCAGGGGACACTAAAGAGTGACGCACACAGCTGGGAGACCAGGGGACACTAAAGAGTGACGCACACAGCTGGGAGACCAGGGGACACTAAAGAGTGACGCACACAGCTGGGAGACCAGGGGACACTAAAGAGTGACGCACACAGCTGGGAGACAAGGGGACACTAAAGAGTGACGCACACAGCTGGGAGACCAGGGGACACTAAAGAGTGACGCACACAGCTGGGAGACCAGGGGACACTAAAGAGTGACGCACACAGCTGGGAGACCAGGGGACACTAGAAAGTGACGCACACAGCTGGGAGACCAGGGGACACTAAAGAGTGACGCACACAGCTGGGAGACCAGGGGACACTAAAGAGTGACGCACACAGCTGGGAGACCAGGGGACACTAAAGAGTGACGCACACAGCTGGGAGACAAGGGGACACTAAAGAGTGACGCACACAGCTGGGAGACCAGGGGACACTAAAGAGTGACGCACACAGCTGGGAGACCAGGGTTGCGGTCGAATACTCCAAAAAAACAGCTCCTAAGTTCTAACCCTATCGTCTATTCCTTGACCTCGGAGTGAAACGTCATGGGGTTAAGGGATAGTGGATAGGAGAATTCAAAAGGATTTAGGAGAAGAGACTGCGGTACTTTAGAGAATCCGACTGCACTTTCACTATCCGACGTGTTTATGATGCGCCAGCAGAGGTCATAAATGTGCGCCTGCTGCTGTGGGGAAACTATGGAAACTACAGTTTTCTATACAGCGGACTACAACATGGATGTTTAATAAGAACGAGGGACTACTGTAAACTCATCTAGAGACTCTGCACCGTGCTCTGATGCTGTTGTTTTATGCTTTATGAACGGGGACAACAGAGAAACATATTCTTCATGACCAAAGTTGGAATTGAAATAAAAAAGGAAAGTGAAACTTATGCTCGTCACCCTCTCCCTCCGGTCCTCATTAATACAAATGATCCCAATACGTATGATTGCATGAAAATATCTTAAAATCAATACAAATGTATTTATTATAAACGTTAGTCCTTAACATCTATCACTGTGTATATCACCATTCAAACATCTTTTAAAAGTTGAACAAACCCCACACAGCTCAGTAAAGACTGTGAAATGTTGACTTTATTTGATCATTTCAGTAAAAACTAACGTTCATATTTCTATTTTTGATTATAATACTGATTAACGTTCAAAACAAAGCACTTTGGCAACTTACCACATACGTTTTAAAATGCTTAATAAGCACCGTAACTTTCATGATATAATTTCTCGTTCATAATCGGTTGTTTCCGTGAACGGCCGACTGTTGTGTGACGGCAAATGCCGCGGCCGCAAGGCATTGTGGGGCAGCATTTTCTCCTCTCCTTTCGGTTAGGGAGGTCCAGTGGTTCCTAAGCTAAAGGAGGTTATAAAGGAAGTTTGAAACCTCCTTTCCTTTTAATTTAGAGAATTCGAACGGCACTTATCATGGCTGCCACTGAGGGACTTCCGGGTCATTTCACTCCGTTAGGAAGGTTCCTAAGCTAAATGGACTATTCGACCGCAACCCCGGGGTGTTTCCTCAAGTTGGTGAAGATGGTTCTTGATGTTTTTGCATTTGCATGGTTTCTCCTAATGGGAATGTTTCGGTCGGTTTGAACCTGCTGGCCACCGTAGTTACCAGCAACAACACAGATGAATTATTTCTGCAGTCAGCGGAAAGAGATTCACCTTGAATGAAGATTGAACCAGCAATCAAACCATTTCTATTTGATCAATCTTCTATATTAACAAAGGGAACAGTTGCCTAGTAGACGGGGGAATAGTTTGCAGACTATAAAACCCTCTGCATTATTATCCATCTGACCCAGTTTCCCTCTCAGACACAAGATGATGAATGCAGAACTGTTTTTTCCCACGTAGCAGCTTATGTGCGCTGTAAAGCTCGCTGGCTGCTGGATCTTATTTTAGCCTCTTGTGAGCCTCATGGTCTGGAGCGCTTGGCTTTCCAGCATGCAGTATTGATGCTGAGTGGAGCTGGCACTGTGCTTCTATGTTTTCCAAAAGCCAGACGTCATCCCCTCACATCGTGAACGTTGAGTCACTGTCGCCTGGCTTTCTCCTACTTTCCTCTTTAATTATGCCAATTAAAACACAGCTTTTCCTTAAACCTCGTAGACGGGGTTGCAGTCAGCTCGTCAAACACATTAACTGCAAATTGGAAGATCAAACAGTTCAAGCGTCTTAAAATTGATTCTGAGCAAACATTTATTTAATGCCGTTTAAGCCTCGCTGCTACTGACTATAATGTATTCCGCTAGTGAAAGAAATTTGAGGATGCGTCCCACTATTGTAATCATTTCTATCGACGATTCAGAGTAACAGCGCAATTACGGGCAGTAGAGGATTCAGTTAATTGTTGCGCTGTGTGCTGCTGGTGGTTATTGATCGATAAAAGCAGACTGATACGATCAGGAGGGGGACATTTGGAGCCGGTTCCCCCGAGGAAGGCAGAGATAATGAAGCCCATCTATCAGCCGAGGTGGTGCAGGAACTAAACTCTGTTTTCCAGAGCAGACGACTGCAAACACCACTGCTGCTGCACCTGATAAAGGACGCCTCTCTTTCCTTACGTTAGGGTCACTTCAGAGAGGTAGTTACCTGTACCTGGCTTTCATTCAGCACGCTCAGGCAGTAACCTATACACCAACAATGAAACACATGAGCACAGCTTAAAAAAGCCTACAGTATTAGCCTACAGAAATACAATCTGATCCTTTTACAACAAACACTATATGCTCTTTTTAGGTTTCTACTAACATTGTAATCATGTTAGTAGAAGCAGCTGTTTGCAATTTAACAAACATCCATTTTTGGCACCTGAGTGATGAATGGACGTACAGAGAGGAGAGATGAAGGCTGTGTGGTCTCTGATAATCCCACATTATGTCTCCGTGTGATTTGCCGTCCACTTCTTGGGACGATTGAACTCCATTTGCCGTCTAAAAAGCAGCGCGACAGGCAGAGTGATGAACGAGGGGGCGATGTGCACGGCGGTATGTGGTGAAGGTGGGGGGATTGCCTCAGATTACTGTCATAGTTGCACTGCTGCACCATTCATCACCTCCTTAGATCTGTAGCACACAGTCGTCAGTCACTGTAATTAATTAGCTTCCTCTCCTTTTACTCCTCCTGGGAAACGGCTGTGATTGAAGAGGAGAAGATCTCACTCTGACTCTGCACGCCTTGCTTACTTGCATATGTGTACGCCATGTAGGAGTTAGCATAATTACCATTTTCTGCACTGTTTATGCAGCGTGTGGGAAATGCAGGTGGTCTCGGACCCTTCAATCAACACCGCTAAACAGAATCCGGGATTAAGCTAATTGCTTTATATCGGTAATGTCAAGTGATTTGCATGTTGAGCTGTTTGAAGGTGAGAAAAGGGGACTGTAGTGAGAAGGGAGCTAATGAACCTAGCTGGTGGAATAAATACTTGTTAAGAGGACATACTATGCTCATTTCCAGGTTGGTATCAGTATGTAGTGTAGAATTCAGGGAGCTGCTTTTTCCCCTACTATACAATGCAGCAAACACACACACACACACACACACACACACACACACACACACACACACACACACACACACACACACACAACACGTGCATTCATACATTTCTCGACGTGAGAAGTGAAGACGTTGTTGTGGTGAATATTGCATGTTTCTGAAGGACGGTGCAGTTCCAGAAAAGCAGCCTGTGCGTTGTGTTCCCTCTCGTCCCTGCGGCAAACCACCACGATATCTCACACACACGCACGCACGCACGCACGCAACGCACGCACGCAACGCACACACGCACGCACGCACGCACCCACGCACGCACTCACGCACGCACGCACGCACGCACGCACACACACACACACGGGAAGGTGAGAGACCTATCAGATTCCACTCATGCTCCCCTCCAGTCGGCCCAGTGCGGCGCTCCAGCCCATTATTATTGATGATGGTTTAATCCGGGGAAGGAGACGGAAGAAGACGCTATCCTTTGATCTGCTCTCTTTGAACGTCAAGTGGCTGCTTTCACTCAGAGCTACACACACTGCAGACACGCTGTCCTCCACAGCAGACTCCAACTATGGAGCAGATCCTCTTTTACAGCTTGAGAAAATCCATAGCAATCGGTTGATGTGAGCGTTTGAATGCCTCTAAAGCCCTGGGTTGTGGTCGAATTGTCAGAACAAATCAGCTCCTATGTGTTATCCTAACCACTATTCCTAAACCTCAGGGTGAAACGTGATGGGGTTAGGGAAATATGTGTAGGAGAATTCATCAGGACTGCAGTGGCACTGGGAGACGTTTGATTTCAATCTGTTAGGAAGCTTTCTAAGCAAAATTGGCAATTGGTCCACAACCCTAGTTTCTCACTGTGTCTTTCCCTTCCTTCACTTCCTGCCCAACAGATCCCACCAGCAGTGAGACGCGTTGGGTAAATCACCCTGTAGTTTCACTGGGAAGAAGACAAATTGACCTCCATTTAGAACACACAGATCTTTAGACTGGGAAATGTGCCATAGTTTCTCTTCCTCCAACCCTCCCTGGATCTCTGACCCGCTGCCAATTATCCAGCCTC